TATCTATGTCGAATCCGTTATTTTTAAAAAATCTTTATTATTGCTTTTCTAGTTTTGTCTGTGTTTTGTTTGTTACAGTTTCTTAAGATTATGAGGCCGTCGTCCCTGTAGAGTCCTGTGTCATTTTTATCTATTATTTTGCTCAGTTCGTGTAGTAAGTAAATGCCTATGATTTCGCATGCCTCTGCACCGTCAAAGCTTCCCATTGTAGTGTCAAATATCCCATCTTTCTTTATCCATGCTTCTTCATTGTGGAATAATAATGATTTACGGGAGTGCTTAATGATGTTGATTTCGCTTGGTTTTATTATTATTTGTTCCTGAGCTAAGTCGATGGCCTTATCTAGCATAATGTTCTGTTATAGATGGGTAAAATTTTTTATGTCTAATTGTAGGAATTGGCAATTTTGTTTGTTATTTATGTTGTGGAACCAGTCAATAGTTGTTTTCGTATTTTTCCACTGGTTTACTCCTAATTTCTTCCTAAGTTCAGAATTAATTCTTTCTAGTATTGTTTTACTTATTTTACCTAGTTCGCTTTTGGCTGGGTTTATGAGTCTGCATGCAGGATTAGTTTTGAAATTTTCTTTATGGTCTTTTAGTGTGATAAAGGCTCGTGCCTTGCTAATACAATTTATTCGGTCATCTAGGTCTAATTTTTTGGGCGATTGTTTTAGCTTCCTTATTGATATCGTGTTCTGTTGTTTGGGGTGCCTTTTGTATGTTTTGGTTATGTTGTTCTTGAGTAATTTATTGTGTGTAGGAGGGCTTAGTTTGTATAAATTTCTCGTTTTGTCAGCAGCGATAAATACACTTGCTGAATTGTTTATTTTAGTTATATCTGCTTTTAGTTTTTTTGAATGCATCTTGTTTTTTATGGAATTTTATGTTTCTAACTAGGTCAGTTAAGTCTTTCTCGAAATCGTCTAATTCTTTTTGTTGTGGGGGGCATTTTTTTGTTTTGAAGCCGTATTTTTCCTTCTTAAGTGTGTTATTGTGAAGGTCCTGATTTAAAAAGTGGACTTTCCATCTCATTCTTTTTAGGAAACTTTCTATTTTTTCAATTAATTTTAGTTTATATATAGTAGGGGATGGGATGGGTATGTTTTTTAGGGAGTAGTCGAGGTTAAATTTTTCCATGTCCATACTGTGTTATAAATGTAGCGAGAGTGCTCTACTGTTTACCAGGAGCTGAATATAAAGAAATATAGTCTTAAGGTGTGCTATATTTATGGGATAAAGTGCTCAATATCAGAGATAGAGCGTGTGTAAATATAAAAGTGAACATAGAAGTCAACACTTAGAGGCGACAGTCTGTTTCATGCTATATGCAATCGTCAGGCCACGTGTGCTGTTATTTTTCTCGGCTATTTATATATATACGGGTTAGTGGTGCATTGTGGGTATTCTATTATGGCGGTTATTTTTACCGGAAGTCGCTTTGTTCATTTATTTGGGTCAAGTTATATTGCTCGTTTTTATTTATTTTTTTATTTTATTTTATTTATTTATTTATTTATTTTTTTTTTTTGTTTCTTATTTTATTTATTTATTTATTAACGTAGTAAAAATTTGTTTATATCACGTATTTAACAGTTTTGTTTTGGTTTGAGAATTTAATTAAAGCTATTTGTTCAATTTTTAAAAATAACGGATTCGATATAGATATAAAAACTAACCTAAACGAAGTAGATTTCCTAGATGTGACCTTCAACCTAAGAGAAGGCACATATAAACCATACAGAAAACCTAACGATAAACCACTCTACATACACACATCTTCCAACCATCCGCCTTCTATAATCAAACAGATACCAAAATCGATTAACCGCAGGCTCTCCGACAATTCCTCCAATGAATCCCTATTTAACAAAGCTAAAAAAGACTATGAAACGGCCCTAAAAGATAGCGGATTCCCAGCAATACTCACATACTCACCACAGAATACAAAAAAGACCAACAGGAGAAGAAATATCATATGGTTCAACCCACCGTACAGCAAGAACGTAAAAACAAACGTAGGAAAAAATATTCTTCAAACTCTTACACAAACACTTCCCAGAATCAAGCACCTTACACAAGATATTCAACAAAAATACAGTAAAAATCAGCTACAGCTGCACCGAGAGCATGGCACAAATAATAAAAAAAAAAGTTTTAGGAAAATTATCAACAAACCACACGAACAAATTAAACCCACGTGCAACTGCAGAATAAAGAACGAATGTCCCTTAAACGGAAATTGTCTACAAAACAACGTAATATACCAAGCCACGATAAAATCACCAGATAACGAAGAAAAAGTATACATAGGAGTAACTGAAGGACCCTGGAAGCAAAGAAATTATACACAAAAAACATCGTTCACAAATAGTAAATATGCGAACAGTACTATGCTTTCTAAGTATATCTGGGAAATAAAAAAAAAACAAAAAAAAACAAAACGCACATCACACCAAAAATATCTTGGAAGATAAGGAAAAAGTCATCAGCCTACAACAACCAATCAAAAACTTGCAAACTTTGCTTGGAGGAAAAAAATAGCTATCATTACTTTCCCCGACCAAAATAAATTATTAAATAAAAGATCCGAGCTCATCTCAAAATGCAGGCATGAAAATAAATTTTACTACGTAACCTAAAAAATGAAAAACGGAAAAATAAAATAAAAACAAATACAATAATAATAATAAATAAAAAAAAAAAATAAAAAATAAATAAATAAATAAATAAAATAAATAAATAAGTACTATGTTGCTTAAAACCGAAAACCAAAAGAGAAAATATAAAAATAAATTGACCTAAATTCATCCAAGTAAATAAATAGGCAAACCAATCCCAAATTAAAAAACTGTTCCCGCCAAAAAAATAATAGTTAGAATGAACTACAACAACCAACCCCAAAATTGAACAAATAGCTTTAATTAAATTCTCAAACCAAAACAAAACTGTTAAATACGTGATATAAACAAATTTTTACTACGTTAATAAATAAATAAATAAAATAAGAAACAAAAAAAAATAAATAAATAAATAAATAAATAAAATAAAACAAAAAAAAATAAATAAAACGAGCAATATAACTTGACCCAAATAAATGAACAAAGCGACTTCCGGTAAAAATAACCGCCATAATAGAATACCCACAATGCACCACTAACCCGTATATATATAAATAGCCGAGAAAAATAACAGCACACGTGGCCTGACGATTGCATATAGCATGAAACAGACTGTCGCCTCTAAGTGTTGACTTCTATGTTCACTTTTATATTTATATATATATATATATATATATTGTAACTCTGAGTTCTATTCTAATATTTTCTTCTCTTCCAGCTTCTTGCTTTCTGGTATTCTATTATCCTTTTTTCTCAGTTTCCTCACTCTCAGTAACTTCTTGAATCTTAGTGGTTTTATTACCTTCATTGGGATTAAGTGATTATATATATATATATATAACTCATTCATCAAGTCTAAGAAAGCAAATCCAGAGATGTACTTTCTCTTATGTGCTGAGCTCATCACACAGCAGTACAAAACCCCTAACTTGAGCTAGCCTGTTGACCAATTCATTTATCTTCTGACATGTAGAGTTTTCTATAACAGTCACAGAATAGGAAAACTCTTCATTTTGTTCTGTTGCAGGCAATTAAAGAAGCTCCTTTTGAAATTATGGCTAGGGTTTCATCTGTAGGATGAAAAATCAAACTTATGAAAGGGTGAACAAACTAAAAAGAGTCATCAGCCAACAAGAGACCACTCCACTATCGTTCCCAATAAAAATTATGACTATAAACAAAAAGTAACAGGGAATGTTGTTAAGGTGGGCAAAGTGAGAAATGTGCAATGTGTCCCATGACTGTCATCCAGCAACAGTTCACAATAAAGACAGAATTGTACTCAGGACTTGCAAAGGTTAAGATGCAAGATATCAATGTGGGAAGTTAGAAACTATCAGGCTGGAATAACAGAATAGATAAACACCATGGAAGATGTAAATGTAAAATGTAGAAATGAACAAAACAGTGAAATAATTGGCAAATATGGATTTGGGTCACTGAATGAATGCAGAGAAAAATAGATACAATGGTGTACTATGAATGACTGAATAATAGCAAACACGTGGGTTCAAGAATATCAAACACACTTGTGAACAGGGAAAAGCCTCGGAGGAGACACAAAGAACCAGATAGACTACATAACAATCAGTAAAGGATTCAGAAATGCAGTTTTCCATTCTAAAACTTACCCAGTCACCAACTGTTGGAGTGACCATCTCCTAGTCAGATGCAAACTAAGATTAAAATTAGAGAAATCCAAAGCAAAACCAATCCAACAAACTGCACAGTTTTGAATTCAATTTAATGTTTACTCGATGATTCATCATTTTCAATGTCAAAAGTTAAAAATGAGGGCAAATCCTTCTTGTAAAATAGCTGATTATTGAAAATTCCAACATTTGTCTATTAGCCTGAGATGAGCTGTTATAGCTATTTACATTGTTTGCACTATTGTCCTCATCTTCATGACAGTTTGGCCGTTGTATGCTCTAGCCTTATTCAAGTGATATACTTTGGAATTTCAAACTAAACCCATTATTTGGCCCACTGGAGTAGATTGATTCCATGTGCCACGCCTTTTTTGGATATCTCAGTTTCAGTTATTTCCTTTTTGTAACTCAACTCCCCAAGTTTTTTTTGTTCACCTCTGCTGTGGCCAAGTATTGAACTCACCACTCTTTGGGTCAAATCACTGGATGAAATCAGCCAATCTACCCCAGTGAGAAAAATAAAGGGTTCACTTCGAAATTACAACACATATATCCCCTGAAAAAGGCTGGAGTATACAACAGCCGAAACATCAGAAATATGATAATAAAGATGAGGACAAAAGTCCGAACAATGTAAATAGTGTAAATAATTGAAAATTCCAAGTATGAAATTTTAGTCTCAATGAAGATGTTTAAGTATCATATTTTCTTTTATTTCATTTTTCAGATGTCCGCACCAATTGAAGATTACACTGAAAAGAGCCTTGGTAATGGCTGTTGTCAGACCGGCCATGTATCATGTTCATTAACACTAGATAAACAGATTTTCGTTCCTGGGGAAAACATTAATGCTACAATCACATTACAAAATATTTCCTTCCGTAAATGTGGTTCATGTAATATGCAGCTAAAGCAGGTCAGTAATTTAAATTTTATTCTTGTTAAAATAATTTTCCTTTGTTTTACTTGATAAAAAAATGAAATTAAAAATATTCTATCTTATATAATATAGTTATAAAAATCTATTTTTCCTATTCTGTAAATAGAAGCTCAAATCTGCTTTTAACTTCATTCATGTTTTTCCATCTTAACTTGATTCTAGAACTGTTTCAATGCAGTGAATATCAAGTCAAATTTCAACTTCACTGATAAACTATCTTCTTGGTGAGATCTATACACAGTGCACTTGGGTATGAAAGAGCAACTGATGCGCATAGACATTCTCATATATTATTAAACAATCATTAATGTCCTAACATTTAGACTTTTCCCACTTACCTACCAATCTATGCCTTTAGAAACCCTAATGACAAACCAGTTTTTAGATTATACACACAAACAAATGAATTTATCTTTAATGAAATTGATCATCTGTGGATGCTATTCAACCTGCTAATACTTGAGTATTTCATTTCTTATTTTATTAAATTTGAAAAAATTTTTAGGGGGAAAAAAATCATAAAATTAATTTTCTCTCTGTACACAAGGTTTCATGTAAGCATACACTTTTTAGAAATTGTACATTTCCCACTGTTTTAAAACTATTATTATTGTTGTTTGCAACACAAAAGCAGTAATTAAGGAAGGACTCTTTTTATCATGTACAATGAAAAAATAAAAATCTTGCATATTTGATCGGTTTTAACTGAATGTAGCTTTTAATGCTCTAAATACAAATTTTAAATGTAATGATGGGAGAGTTTTGTGCCATTAGCTTACAAAATCTCCTCTGACTGCAGAAGCAAAAAATATAATCTACTTTTTCATTGTAATGTACTGCATCATCATCATCATCATGTTCTCCAGACTCACATCATCATCATCATGTTCTCCAGGCTCACGTCATCATATTCTCCCACACATTCATCATGATGTTCCCTAGACACACATCATCATCATCTTTCCCCAGACTCACATCATGATGTTCCCCATATACAAATTTCACTGACATTAAAATAATCAATTAATAAGGAGCTTATTCACTAAATCCTTGACAAGATTGAATAGTTTTAAAACTGAGCCACAAATCTTAGAAACAAGCTTTGATATTTACTGCTCATTGTTTTCTGTCAAATTAACATAGTTTTGGCAAAAGGTCAGGAGTATGGAGCAGTCAGTGAAGACTGAACTCAGTACTCAGTAATAATGATCTGTGAGACCAGCTCATTAACCATTACTCCATAAGATGCCCTCTTCAAAATTCAGTGATCAAGATGAAGAGAATAATTTAAAATCTGACACATCAAGTCAATTTAGCAGTGATAACTTGGTAACCTTTCAATTTTCTTTGCTCTTTATTCTCCCATTTCCTTGAGAGCAGTCTACTGTGTAATACAATAAAGCAAATCTCACAGAACAAGAATTCCCCCAGGTTTGAATTTTTCTTTAAATTTTAAAATAAGAAATGTTAATCTAACCAAACAAAATTTTAAATAAGAAAAAATATTATTTTCTTTGATGACGTTTACCAAAATCATTTTTTTTACTTGTTACAATCAACTTGACCTATTCTTTTATTGTTAGAAACTGAATAATTAACATAATAACTGATGAAAATTTAATAATATGATAATAAATCACAAATTAACATAATTTGGTTGACATTTTTATTGTAGTTTTAAACTTATATTTATTTTGGTCTTTGACTTTTTTTCACATATTATGATTAATACTGAATTATTTAAAATACATTAAATTTAATCAGGTAAAGGTCCCTATTAAATTTGATTCCAACTTACAAAAAATAAAAAATCCCAAACTATTTTTTTTCATTGCAATATGTTATCAATTTGTTCAAATCAGTTTTAATGAAAATTTATTCCAGGGACAAATACTGTTATAAAACAAAAACAAAATTTTAAATAAGAAAAAATATTACTTGGTTAATTTTTTGTAATAAAAAGATTTTTATTCTCTATGAAAGACTGAAAAATGTCTGTGATATTGTGGCAAAGAATAGCAAGAAATGATTTAAAAATCATTCATTTTAAATAACATTATCAGCAACCAAAATTAATAGAGGAAGACTATTTTTTTTTTACCTTAAAATTTATGATAAAAAGCAACAAGATTAAGAATTTAGTCTATTTTTGTCATATAGGAAGAAAATGAGATCTACCGACACCAAGGATCAAGCGTGACACTCTAGACCAAGGGTTAGCAACCTACGGCCCATGGGCCAGATCCGGTCTGCAAAGGCATTTTGACTGTCCCGTGAACCTGATTACCAATGACTATTTTTAACATGAGAGACGAGGCTTTCAAATTACACTATCTGCCAGTTATCTTTCATGAGACTTATTTTACCAAGTTGTGTTGCCTATGTTTAATGTCAAATAATGGATACATATTTGTTATGACCCTTGGCTACATTAAAAGAAAACAGAAGCGAAAGGAACGATAAAGTGAAAGAGGCCAGGGAGGACATGCGAGTTAGCAGAAATCTAAAGACAGTTAAACATACACGCATTATTCATACATGCCTCATGAATGTGTGGATGATACCGCATGTGTATATATGTAAGTGTATATGTTTGCAACTATTTGTACTCGTATGTATGGGTATATGTGCTTCCTTTTTGTTTGATGTGTGTGTGTGTGTGTGGTTCGTTTGTGGAACAATTTTCAATAACAGTTTCAGACCTAAATGTCATAATTTCATCCATTTCACTTCGGTTGATTTTTTTCACTTTGAAGTATTTTGACGTTCCTTGAGGAAAAGTAATTTTTGTTAGGTGTTTTTTTAATTTTAGATTTTCTTTAGTTTTTCTGATTTCTCAATGTTTATTTTCATTATGGTTTTAAATATTTAGGTTGACAGGGGTCTGCATATGTAATTTTCCTTAATTTTTCATTAAAGGCCTTCATTCGGCCTGCGACCCGTCATTATAACATGCTCCGGCCCGTGGAATTGAATGAGTCGCCGAGCCCTGCTCTAGACATATATGTTTTCCAACATATGTATAAATAGCAGTGTCAGTACTGTACTGGACAAGGGGTTGACTATTGGTTGGACTGCAGTCAATGATTAGTTGATTACAAATTGCTTATGAGTGGATTACTAGTTGATTACCAGTTGATTATTGAGTGACTCTCAGACATAAATCAGAGTCATGCTACTAAGAAGGTATTCACTGAATTTGTTAATAAGTTTGATTGACTCTTACTTCTTTTGTTTGTGTTACATATTTATTTGCAGTTTGTAATTAAATACTGTTTATTTAACATTGAAGTCTTAAGTTGCACTTTATCATTAATGGCCACTCCCTCTCATACGTGTCACAAAAATTTTGAATTGTTCAATTTTAAGGGAGAAAAATTTTCAATGATACAAAGGGGACCCGTTATTAATTTTTAATGATAAAAAGTAATTAATACCAGAATTCGGATAATTTCAAAACTAAGTGAATATAGAGAAAAATATGTTGTAATTATTATGAGATCTGAAGAATGCATATCCTTAAAACCGGTGACAGAGAATTAGCATTGATAAAAATGAATTAGCCAAACTAAAATAGATTGTCCCCTATTGTTGTTGACTCACAGATACAAATATTAACTGATATAAAAAGAATTCCTTATTTCTTGAACATATAAAGAACTTGAAAACTTTTTTTATGTAAGAAAATAAAATGCTTTGAGGAAAGATAATATGGAATAATAGTGATAATGAATTGAAAGCATCATAAGAAGAATAAAAAGAAAGAAAGAAGAATAAAAAGAAAGAATTTTAATGATAATCTTCCTGATGTCTAATCACAGGTTTTATGTCTTCAACATGAAGATTTAATAAAAATATTTCATTACTTCCTATGATTTTTTTATAAAGTAATCATACAGAAACTTGCCTCTATGTTTTTGTGTACATCTATATGTGTAAAATATTTTGATTTTTTTTTTAAATAGTAGCACCAAGCTTAAGCATTATTTTGACATTATCTTAAAAGAAACATTTTCAAATTAAAATCCGATTTCAAGACGAAGGTAATATAACATTTCTATGTACCACTAGAAATTATGTTGTAGTTAATTTTTAAATATCTCTCCTCATTTGCTGTCATCTCACATTACAGTTGAGATTTGTGACGTAATACAACGTTTTATACTTGGTCATTATTGTATTATCATTAGAAACATTATGAAATTTGTATTGCATTATATTTCATATAAATTGACAAGGATGCAGTTTAGTCATAGTTACACTGGTATCATCAAAACTTTGTGTATTGTATTTCCTCACTTGTCCAGAACACACATTATCAAACTTTACAGCTTTTATACTTGAAAATATTCTAATCAAACTTTGTCATCTTCATTAAAATTCAGTCTTTCATTTAGAAATTCTTTTATTTTGTATGACTTTATATTTGTCCATGTTGGAAGGAAAATACAAAGTCATTCACAGATTCTAATTTCACAAGGAAAAAACTCAATGTTACAGTTGTAAATAAAAAATAGTTTTGGAGAAGTTTTCATTACAATATCATGCTGCTTGCTTTTTGATGTATCTTTTATACAACCCAGCACATTTTTTCTATATATCTGAAATTAAAAAATACATATAAATAATTATGCTATTACATATGTTTATGTACAATATTATGAACAAAACTTATATTGCATATTGTAAATATTTCTAATAAAACCAGATATTATCAGCAGAAAGTCATATGGTATATTTATCATAGAAATAGAAATATACCCTGAAAATTTTACCAACATTGCTTGGCTAATGCCAGTTTTATTGAGAAAACATTGATTTGCATAATAAAATCTGGTATAATATTCAGTGGTTACAAAACCTTATCTAAAAATATTAAAATAAAAATTGGTGGATGTAATGTTTAGAAACTAAGCAACATGAAACTAGAAACTGCAAAAGTATGGCTTTGCTGTTAGGTTGTAATTTTGCATTGT